CTCTTTAGTATATATTAGACCTTGTATAGGATATTTGAGTTCTAAGGTGTAAAGGCGTAATGTTGTATCTCCTTAGTGTTTCTAGCAAGGACTGTGGAGATAGATCTAGTGATCTGATCTAGTTGTTCCCCTTTATTGCTAGTTATAGCAATATTAATTAGGTGGTTTGGGGCTAGTTTTTGAGCTCTAAAGGCGTATTGTCGAAGAGCGTTGTTTAACCTTACTCTAGGTGGGTAGAGGCAGGCCTCTACCTCACTAGGTATAGTTGGGGAGGTCTTAAATGTGCCTAGAATCTTCCTACACGCTCTGTTTTGTAGTAATTGCCTTTGTTTAAGAGCTAGTTGTTGTTGTTTCCAGAAGATCTGACAACCATAGTCTGCTACGCTAGTGATGCAGGCAAGGTATAATTGTCTAAAGGCTCTAGGTGATAGGCCTTTATTGCTATTTGCTAGTCTGCTTAGCCGAGTAAAGGCTTAGTTTGCCTATTGATTTCTAATAAAGCAGTGATCCTTGAACTTAAGGGCTTTGTCAAAGTAGATGCCTAGCCATCTAATTTGCTGTTTTGGTTGTTAGGTCTCCTGGGTGGGTAGTGTGAGAGAATCTTGATCCTTTTTTGATCTAGTCCCATTTACTAGTTCAGTCTTTAAGCTGTTGAATTTAATTGCTAGCTCCTCTGCTAGGTTAAAGAGTTTTTGGGTCTCTTTTTCTAGTAATTTAACGTTTTTCTTAATAGATGTTGTAGATACTAATATCTGTAGGTCGTCTATATAAGAAGAGGAGTAGATATTTCTATTTATTGTAATTAACTAAAATAGTAGTTTTGTGTAGATTAAAAATAGGATTAGAGAAGTAGGGCTGCCTTAGGGCGTACTAGTGTTTACCTCCTGTAGATCTTCTACTTGGCCATTAAAGGATAGCTCTAGTAGTCTGTTTTCTAGGAAGGATTTAGTCTAGGATAGCAGGCAGCAGGGAAGTTCTTAATCCTTCATATTTTCTAGTAGCTTGTTTTTAGCCACGTGATTAAAGGCTCCTTTTATGTCTAGAAATATAGTTATAGTAGTCCTATGCTTCTTTTTCTGCTGCTGTATATTATTATAGAATAGGAAAGCGGCGTTAATTGCTAATTTCTTTAATCTCCCGCCTAACTAGGTAGGGTGGAGTAAGTCTATTGTTTCTACTAGTGCTCCTAATCGTCTTACAAATAGTCTTTCTAGTACTTTCCCTAGGCAGCTTAAGAGTGAGATAACTCTATATACCTTTAGGATAGAGTAGTCTAGCTTTCTAGGTTTCTTTAGAGTAACTCCTTTAGTTTTTCTCTAGCACTTTAGTTAGTAGCTAAAATTAAATAGAGCTAAATATATCTTAAAGAGTAATTCTAGCTATGCCTAATAGACTTTTTAGACTATATCCTAGCTAATTAAATCTAGTCCTGGCGAGGTAGCTTTTACGCTTACGCAGGCGAATTCAAGCTCTTCTTTTATTAGAGCTAGCTACTCCTATCTACTATCTCCTTTATAGGTATTTAGTAGTGGGGCTAGAGTAGATGGTAGTAGGGGGAAGAGATCTTCTCTAAAGGCTTAGCATTTTTCTCTAAAGGTCTCCTTGCCTTTAATAGCAGGTATCTTTATAGATAGGTTGTCTTTTATATAGGCCATAGCTTTAAATATCTCTTTTAGCGTCTCCTTTTGTAGGAAGGTTTCCTAGTAGTTAAGCTTTGCTTTTTTAATAGTTTTTAGATATCTGTATTTTGCAATAAGATACTCTTTTTTCTACTAGTTAATTTAGCTGTTGTCCTCTCTACTAGCTTCTCTTTTTAGGGCTCGAAAAGCTCTGTTTTAATCCAACTTTAGGTTATCTAGCTCACTAGTCCACTAAGGTTTTGGCTTTGGTTTCTGGCTAACTAGTAGGGTGGATTCTTTTAGAGCTGTTTGTACTACTGTTGTAATATCTTCTCCTAGTTTCTCTAGTTTCTCTACTAGGGAGTTATCCTGACCTAATAGGATCTTTCTTGATAAATAGCTAGAGGTGTGGGGTAGGTCTAGTAGTTGTGCCTCTAGCTATTAGTTATTAACTTCTTTATTAAGTGTACTATTAAAGATTTCCTAGTTAGTCTTTTTAATATTAAATCTCTTTAGCTGGCTAGGTAGCTGGCCTAGGCTTTTAATACTAAAAAGGATTGCGTGGTGGTCTGATCCAACTCCTGGTATAGTTTGCTAGTCCTGGGTTTTGGCAGCTATATCATTAGTTGCAAAAGTAAGATCTAGTACGCTTTCTTGCCACATATTTACTCGAAAAAAGGTGCCAGTCCCTAGAGTATTTAGAAAAGAAAGGTTTTAGTTGTCTACCCACTCTACTAGATCCTCTGCTTCTTGGTTTAGGTTTTTATCCTGTAGGCTCTATCTAGGGTGGTGGGTGTTAAAGTCCCCTAGTATAATTGAGGAGGGTTCTAGAGTCTCTTCGAGTAGGCGCCTTTGGATTGTTGTCTTGTTAAGCCCTTCTTTTAGGCTTTTTTTGTTATAAATGTTATACATAACGTGGTTCATAAGCGAGTCGGTCACCCAAGCGAGTCGGTCACTCCCCACCAGCGCGTCGACGTTGATACTACAACGCGTTATGTCTTAACAACACAACTATCAATTAACTTATCCTAAATTAGATCTTTAACTTGCTCTTTTTAATATCTAATCACAACGTGTTTAAAGCTAAAGACGCGCTGCCTCTATCTATAACGTGCCTTAAAGTACAATATCTAATCAACAGGCTAGAAAGCGCCCCCAACGCGACTCTGAACTAAATTTAAAGCGCCTAAATAAGTTAGAAGAGGAGGCTATTATTAGACGTATTTTTGAAGAGTCTGCGCGTGGATTTGCCTCTACAAAGGCTAAGGTTCAAGCAATAGCCAATAAACTGTTAGAGGAGCGTAGTGGCAACCCTATTGGCAAGAATTAGGTTAACAACTTTGTTAGGCGGACTGCTAAGCTCCGTACGCGCTAGAGCCGTCCCTATAATCACTAGCGAGCCGCCTGCGAGGACCTAGTGGCTATCCAGCGCTAGTTTGACTTAGTCTAGGCGACAAGGCAGAAGTGGGGTATTGTGGACGACGATATCTACAACTTTAACAAAACTAGCTTTATAATAGGCAAGATTTTATTATAGTTATTAATTACAGCATTAGAAGGATATAGGAAAAAGAAGCGGATACAGCTAGGCAACTGTGAGTGGGTTACTATAATCTAAGGCGTGGGCGCGTTAGGTCGCTAGATACCACTATTCGTTGTCTTTGCGGGCAAGGTGCTTATTAACGTCTAGTTTAAGGATTTGCCTGCTAACTAGGTTCTTAAAGTTAGTCCCAATAGCTAGACGAATAATTAGCTTAGTCTTGCCTAGTTAGAGCACTTTAATACCTATACAAAGAGCTCTACTGTGGGTGGGTATTGACTACTTATTATTAACGGCTATGAGAGCTACTGCTCTATCGAATTTCAAGATCTTTGCAAGGAGAAGAATATTATTCTTCTCTACATGCCTCAACACTCGTCTTACCTATTGCAGCCCCTTAACGTTGCCTGCTTCTCGCCATTGAAGCGCAAGTATGGCGACGCTGTTTTAGGCTTGGCACGCAACCGCACCCACTATATCAGCAAGAAGACCTTCCTACCAGCCTTTAAGGCTGCTTTTGAGCAGTCTATTACAAAGGAGAATATCCAAGCTAGCTTTAGAGGCGCTGGTCTAGTCCCACATGACCCACAGGCTGTGCTATCTAAGCTTGATGTAGTGGTGCAGACGCCAGTACACTCACCACGACGGACAGCCGCCTGGCAGGCGCAGACACCACGCAACGCGCGCGAGGTTGAGGCTTAAAGTACTCTTATTTAACAGAGAGTAAGAAACCGCCCTAGGTCTTCTGCAAATTCTCTTGACGAGAAGGTTGTACAGCTAAGTAAAGGGGCTTAGCAAATAGCACATAAGATAACGCTTATAAGGGAGGAAGTAGCTGCTCTTCGAGAGGCTCTAGACATAGCAAATAAGCGTAAGAGCCGCAAGCGGCGATACGTACGGACAGAAGAGACTCTTACTATAGGCGAAGTACAAGAAGTATTAGCTAAACAGGCGGGTAGCAGTTGTGGTGATGGTGAGAGTGCGTCGAAGAGGGTGCGAGGAGAGCGGCGGTGCGGGCGTTGCAAGCAGACTAGACACAACGCTTGTACCTGCGTAGTTGAGATAGATAGTGTAAGTAATAGTAGCGATTCTAATAATTAGTTTAGTATATTGCAATAGTTTATTAACTATAATAAAAGACTGTAATAACGTGTCAACGTTAACGCGCTGGTAGGGAGTGACCGACTCGCTTGGGTGACCGACTCGCTTATGAACCACGTTATAGATCTTAGTTAAAGAGGAGAGTATTGTAATAGCTTGTAAATCGTTGTCGTCGCTAATATATAGGTTGACCTCTGCATCTAGGTCTTTTCTAATATAGAAGAGCGTTCTTGGCCTTAACCCCTTATAAGTAGGGAGTATTTGAGTAAAGTCTTGGTGGGCGATTGATCTAGTATTCTCGTAGGTATGTCCCTTTAGTAGCCAGGGTTCCTGTATAGCGATAATCTTGGCGTTTACTTGAATAGCTAGATTTAGAGCGCTCTCTGTAGCAGGGCTACTTCTATTAACATTTTATTTATAGGACTTTTTAACATTCTAGTTAGAAGAGGTAGTAGTCCTAGATGTCCTAGCTTGTAGGATTTCGCAG